TTGATCTGTATCTTCTATCACGTGATCAGAGAGAGAAATAGCAGGATTCGTTATGCCTATCTCAGAGTGAAGTCATGGAGAACAGTGGCTGTTCAGAGCTGGAGAATGTGATTGTGAAATACTTTCAGTTCAACTGAGAATGGGCTCCAGGGAGACTTCCACCCCATGGTGAAGGTTTGGGAAGTTAGAAACTTGTTACCATTACGTCAACGTCAGCTCATGACCACCCTTGCCCCATACATGCAGAGTAAAATCAAGCTCCGCAGAATTGTCAGTGGTTGTTCTTTTGGACGTAAACAACCAAGTTTTTCTTCACCTCTGGGACTCAAACCTCCAACCTTTTGGTTTGCAGTTGGCATAGGAAGAAATACATGTTTCCTTGTCTGCCTTACTTTAAAGGCAGAGGCAGAGATCCTCTATAGCAAAACCCCTCAAATTTGAGTGTGGACCTGAAGCTTTTTGTCAATGTGCAGATTCTGAGACAGTAGAGCTAAGCTGGGACCAAGGTCTCTGCCTTGTAACCAGCCCTCCACCCACAGCCAGATAAGAGAGCCAATCCCATCCCATGATTCTCTGTAAGGATGGAGTGGAACTGCTCTGTGAGCTTCCCAAGTCTGTCCATCTCGATGCAAGCAGACTGCCCCATCCTTCCCCCACAGAGCAGCAAGTGGGTTTGAACCCTTAACATTTTGATTAGCAGCTGAATGAATTAATCATTGCACCATCAGAACTCCCTTAGTTTGCCCCCAAGTGATGCAACATGCAAGCCTAGCCTTACATTGGTAGGTGAGGAGGGGGTCAGGTCCGCAGGAGGAAGAGAATTCTTTGCAAGAACGAGCTTTGGTTAGAGCGATTGGACAGGGAGCATGAAGGAGACGGAGTGCTATGAGGCCCTGACGAGAAACACGTATTGTTGAAGAAGCCAGAGGTGAGGTCATTTCCAGGTTCAGGAGGCCCAACTAACTGTTGATTGGCAGAATTTTCAACTGTGTGCTTGGTGTCTTGATTATGTCGGTTGCCTTCTCTCCTATGGCTAAGAGTGATAAAACCAGAACAGTTTGCAAAATGAGAGCTGCTAGGAGGTTTTACAGCAGGTGGCACTCTTGCATCATCACTGAGAGTTTAAAAGCAGGAACGCCAGGTTTGGCTAGAAGAGAATTCCTAAAAAGGGATGAATCTCTGTGAAGTCAGCCCCCTTTTCCCTGCTGCTGGCACCCAGGTATATTCTGCTGCTCTCCCACAGTAATAGAGCTCGCTGTGCAGACTAGACTTCCAAGGACTATCTGGAGTTCAAAAACTCAAACTAGGGCCAACTCTCTCTCATTGATGCCTGGATTCCTATTCCCTCAGAGTTCAAGAATACCAGCAACCCCTTTGGTTATTATCAATTTTGCCAAGTTCCATTGTTGTTAGGTACTGTGGAGTAAGTCCCAACTCACAGTGACCCAGGCACAATAGAATGAAACACTGCCCGGTTCTACACCATCTTCACAGTGATTGCTGTCCTGAGCCCATTGCTGAGGCTCTCTCTTGTTGTGGGTCTATTTAGTTGAGAATCTTCCTCTTTTTTCACTCACCCTCTCCCAAGCATAATACCCTGCCAAGTCCATGTAATTGTTATTTATTCTTCTACTCACCCTCTGAATTGAAAGCAGGAGTGACATCCACTTCCTAAACAACATGCTTCTGGAAACTCTATGAACTTTGATAAATGATGATAGTTATAGAAAGGCTTCAGGCCTTTTGTTCATAGGGTCACTATGAGTCGTGCTCGACTCGATGGGATTCAAGAACATCCAATGAACAGAAACACGTTAATAATTTTCCATTTCTCCTATCTCCGCAAGAACACCTCAAGTCAAAATCTCCTCAATTATTTCATGAATTTACCTTATTTTCTTCCTTAATATCCATGTCTCTTCACTGAAATCCTGAGTGATGCATTTACCCCAAGATGCCTCTATTGCTGTTAGGGACCATGCAGTCAAATTCAATTCATAATGTCCCTAAAAACAACATATCTGAGCTGTGCCCTATCCTGCTCTATCCTCATCATCTCTCACACACTTGAGCCCACTGCTGCAGTCACTGTGTCAGTTCATTTGACTGGGAGGCCTCCTCTGTTTCACCAACCCTCCACCTTTTCCCAAGCATGACATTCCTTTCCAATGAATAGCCTCTCCTAGCAACAGACCCAAAGTGTATGTGACAAAATTTCATCTTCCTTGCCTCCAAGCATCACTCTGGCTGTGTTTTGACCTCTGCAAAATAAGTTCTAGCTTCATATTAACTAAGAAATAGCATTCCCTGCTCACCAAACATTTCTCACCCATCATGTTTCTTATTCTAGTCTCAAATAATTCTGAGACACAGAAAAGACCTATACAAACCCTCTGATAGATCACCTTTAAATGATTTGGTGATCCACATTTCTCACAAAATCCCCAGTATACCCTTAGGAACCAAAGCTTTTTTTCTGAACCCTTCTTGTACATTCATTGTGAGTTGTCAAAATTTCCAGGGGCAGTATCTTCTGCCAGAGGCAAATTTACATTGGGGTTTCCCCAACATTCCCACAGCATATCCTCACCCCCTTATCTATGTTTCATTTCCGACACTTTGCTCACGTACCTTAAATGGTCAAACATTATTCTAAGTGGTATAGCCCTGGTGTGTCCACTTGCTGTACAGAGGTAACTCCTGGTTGCTGTGATTCTGAACACTGGAACACTGACGTGTCAAATGCGATAATGGTTACCCATGGTGGACAGTGTTTGGTGGAGCTTCCCGATTAAAACAAGCTTGGAAGAAGGAGTGGCGTCCACTTCTGAAATGGCTTGCCTCGGGAAACTCTACGAACATGGGAAAACAATGAGTTAGACAAGTGTTCAGGTCTTTCGTTTGTAGGGTCACTATGAGTTGTCTATGACTCAATGGCATTTAACAACCTTAAATGGTGTTTGGTCACCATAGTCTCAGAACAGCCACCACAGTTGCCTAGTTCTCATTCTGGTTTCAAAGGAAATTGAGTTTAGAGAGGTCATTGAGAATAGAGAGACCCTGGCTGACTGATGGGGATTCATTATCAAAGCTTAATCTATTCAGGAGATTAACAGTAATGAAGAAAGTGCCATGAAGTAAAGTATTTGAATCACAAATATATAACCCAATGTGCCCCTTCAACTAACGAGGCATATTGAAAACACACACACACACACACACACACACACACACACACAGAAACTGTCATCAATTCTGACTCAAAATGACAGAGTACCTCATAGTGTTGCCTGTGCTGTAAATCTTTATAGAAGCAAATTGCTTCACCTTTCTCTCAAAGAGCAGCTGGTGGGTTTGAACTGTAGACCTTCGGTTTAGCAGCTAAATGGTTAGCCACAATGTCCCTAGAGATTCGGTACATAATGAAAAAAGGATTCAAATGTATTACCATTGTGGTAATTACCATTGTGATCTCTTCACCAGAGCCAGGCCAAGGAGTAAGAGCGTAGGGGAGAGGAGGTCTTTTGGCGATGGTGACAGAGTGATGTGATCTGTCACAGTGCTGAGAATAAATAGTCTCTACTCATTGCTGCCCATTCAATTCCAATGTACAGCAACCCGCCTTTCGGGTCCCAAAGCTGTGAATCTCTAAAGAAGAGATTGTGTGTCTTCTTCGTGGAGAGCACTGATGGGATTTGAACCACCAGCTGACCTTCTGTTAGCAGTACAACATGTAATGAAGTACGTCATCAGAGCTTTTTATTCAGTCTATAGGAAAGTTGGGGTCACACTGAGATATACATTCGAATTTTAAATAGCTCATTCTAAAGCTCTGTTGGCCTAGTGTTAAGACGTTGCTCAGCAGTTTGATTCCGCCAGCTACTTTACAGGAGAAAGATGGACAGCCTCCTCCCCTGCAATTTACTGCCTCTGAAAACCTCCTACAGAGTTTGTTATGAGTCAGTTCTGACTCAACAGCACACAAAAACAAAGCCAAACACAAATAGGAAGGTTATACAAATGAAGGAAACACCAAAACCCCACTGCCCTTCAGTCAATTCTGCCTCTTGGTAATCCTCCATCTCCTGGGAATAAAAAAATCTCACCTTTCTCTCTAAAAAAAAACAAACCACTGATAGACTCAAACTCCCAACATTTTTGGTTAGCAGACCAACACAAAGTTGTCTCTTTCTTTCCTGTTTTCTGTCCTGGGAACTAATTTCACAGAACCACATTCTGGAAAGGCTCTCTGAACATTTGATCCACTAGTGGGAAGAAGTTGCACTGACAGCCCAAAGGTATGAGATTTCAATCTACCAGCTGCTCTGCAGGAGAAAGATGGGCAGTTTCCACCAGTGTGGTTTGTTGCCTCTGAAAACCTGCTGGAGAGTCAGCTAGGAGTTGATTGCCACTCAACAATACATAAAGACACTCATTAAACAGGAAGCTCTGGTGGCATAGTTCACAGCGAGTTTTGCTGCCAACCAGAAGGTGATTCGAATCCACCAGCAGTTCCACAGAAGAAAAATGAGCAATCTCCTCCTGTGTGATGTGCAGCCTTCCAACCACTTTCTGGAGGAACAGTGATGAATCAGTTCCAACTTGACAGCAATGGGGAGGCGGGGAGGGATCAATAAATAAATGAGGACACTGAAGCTGTGGGGTATTGCCATTTGCACAAGGCACAGATTTAGTTAATCCAGGACAAAGTTCCAGATCTCAATTTGCCTGGCATGGATGCACAATCCCAGAGCTTAAGATCTAGTTCTTCTTAATCATTACTGATAAAATGTTGTTACTGTGGTTATGTGTCATCATACTTAACCCATGTACGATAGACAGAATATTGCCTGATGTTGCATCATCCTTACAAACTCTGCTATGTGTAAATCCATTGTTACAGCCACTGTCAAATTAGCATCCAGGTAGTGTATTAAAAAAGAACAAAAGCTTTTGTTTTTAAATTTTCTCTTTCCCTGTCCCCATCTTTTCCTTTTTAGGTGTTGAAGCTTCCATCAAAACTCTGGCTTATTTTGGCGAAACTGCAAATTTGCCGTGCAACTTTATAAACGCTGAAAACATAAGCCTGGATGAACTTGTGGTATTTTGGCAGGATGGGAAAGATAGAGTAGTGTATGAGCTATACCAGGGCAAAAAGAAAACTGACAATGTTAATTCCATGTACAAGGACCGTCACATACGTTTTGACAAGGAAAATTGGACCATCCGCCTCCACAATGTCGAAATCAAGGATAGTGGCAATTACAAATGTTTCGTCCATCGAAGGAGTTCTAAAGTACTTATTCCCATGCACACGATGAACATTGAATTGTCAGTGGTGGGTAAGTAGTTAACGATGTGCTCAGATTCCTTACCTTCTCTGATGACACTACGTATGAGTGGGGGACTATTGTTGAGACAAGACGGAGAACAGCCAATTCTGGGAAGTCCATTTGAAGAGAGTTCAGGGTCTGAGAGTAGGGAACTGAAAGTCCTTTCTACTTTTTATAGATTGCTTCTGAAAGATCAGTAATAATTTGCTGTGGAGACCAGATAGAACCAGTTGAACAAAGGTAAATTGACTAAGTGAGAAACACAAACTATTTGGTCATTAATACGCTTATATAGCCATGTAGTCCACACCTCTTTTACATCCATATTTCTCCTTTGGTCTAAGATTTCTCACTGACAAAACCTTTGCTATGTTGTTGTTGTTATGTGCTGTCGAGTCACTTGCAACTCATAGCGACCCTAAGTACAACAGCCCTAAACTCTGCTCTGTCCTGTGCCAATCTCATTGTCTCCGACACACTCATCCCAATTACCTGAATCACCGAATCAATCCTTCTCCTAGAGGGCCTTCCCCTCCTGCACCTGCCCTCCACCCTCCCAAGGACCGGTCTCTTCTTACAACATGACCAAAGTATGTCAGACGAAGCCTCAAAATCCTTGCCTCCAAGGAGCAGCCCGGTTTAACCCTCTCCAGGATGAATTTGCTTGTTTTCTTAGCAGTCCATGGTACCCTCAATACTCTTCTCCAACACCAAAGCTCAAAGGCATCAATTTTCCTTCTATTCTCGTTAGTCATTGTCCAACTCTCTGATGCACAACAAGTGATTGCAAAGACCATGGCCTGTATCAGACACACCTTAGCCTCCAGAGAGGTTTCCCTCCAGTCCCCTGTTGACTGCTTTTAAGTTTTTTACTGTATGAAGCATGAGCCCCACAGACAGAAGGGAAATAACATAGTAAATAATCTACAAACTGGCAAACCAGTCTCCTCTACTTCATTAGGCCTTGATAAGCCTAAAATGTCACTACAGAATTTTCTTCAATGATCATACAGAAAAAAATTTACTTTTTTCCTTTTGATTTATAGTTCTGTACATTTGAACATATGTATGTATTTATATGACCAAAATTATAATCAGGATTCATAACATTTTCATCACCTAAGAATAACTACCCCATGCTATTTCTTGTGGTCATACCTTCTCCATACCTATCTATAAGACCTTGTTTTCAACTTTTTTTCTTTTTGAGACTGCCACATAAATGGAGTCTTACATTTATATATAACCTTTTCAAGACCCGCTCTCTTTTGCACTCAAGATGAGGCCATTGAGCTTCATGAAAATTATTGCGTGTATCAAAAGGTTGTTATTTTTATAGCTGGTAGCATTATATTGCTTATCCAGTCATACTCATCATTGCTATTATTGGATTATATGTGGGCTGTTTCCAATTTTGGGCTACTACCAATAAAGCAAAAGTCGGAATGAAAAATTGCAAACAAAGAGGAAAGATTGGCCAGCAGTTGGAAAAACATGCCCTTGGCAATAAAAATAAGGCTAGAGATTAAGTGAAAAAATTTTGTATAATTGATGACTTATTCATTGCAAATACTCTTTAAAAAAAACACACCAAAATGTATGGTTACCAGGGATGGGCAAAGAAAGAGGAGAAAGTAAAAATTAAAAAACAGATGATGATGGTGTTGTGGTTGCTGTTAGGTGCCATTGAATCATCTACAACTCATAGCGACCCTATAAACAACAGATCAGACCTTTGCCCTGTCCCGACCATGCTTCCTATCTCTGACATGCTTGAGCTCACTGTTGCAGTCATTGTGTTAATCTGTCTTAGGTGACCTTCTTCTCTTTCTCTGACCCTCCATCTTTCCCAGCCTGATGTCCTTTTCCAAGGATTGGCCCTTCCTAACAACATGCTCCAAGTATGTTTGACAAAGTTTCACCATCCTTGCCTCTAAGGAGCACCTGGTTGCATTTGCTCCAAGGCAGACTTATTTGTTCTTTGGACAGTTCATAAGATATTCAGTGCTCATCTCCAACACCACAACTCAAAGGCATCAGTTTTTCTTTTGCTACCTTTATTCGTGCCCAACTTTCAGATGTATATAAAGTAATTGCAAAGACCATGACTTGGATCCAGAGCACCTCAGTCTTTAAACTGATATCCTTGCTCTTTATGCATTTATTAAGTTGAGTAAAGGGAAAGGCAATATACAATTAGAATGTGGTCATACGTTGTAATTAATAAATTGTTTATTTAATTATAATTAATGTTACAAGACAAAATGTATGAGAATTATTGAATAAAAACCAACACGATTTGTAAACTTTCATCCAGAACATAATAAATTAAAAAAAAACCCCAAAACACCACATCCATAAATGACTATACATTTTAACCTCACCAGATGGAACCCACAGTAATCGAGTCAACTATATCTGTGGAAAGAGATGGTGGAGAAGCTCAATATCATCCGTCAGAACAGGGCCAAGGGCTGACTGTGGACAGACCATGCATTACTCATATCAATTCCAAGTTGAAAATAAAGAAAATTAAATACGATCCAAAAAAGGACCTTGAATATCTCCCATCTGAATTGAGAGGTCATCTTAAGAATAGACCGAAGTATTGAACCCTAATGAGCGAAAACCAGATGAGTTGTGGAGTGAAGTCAAGAACATCATCAATGAAGAAAACTCAAAGTCATTAAAAGCAAGAATGAGAAGATCAAAATGAATGTCAAAAGAAACTCTGAAATGTACTCCAGAACAGATGGAAACTAACATGAAAAGAAGAAATGATGAAGTAACAAAGCTAAACAGAGGATATCTCAAAGGGCAGCTCTAAAAGATAGAGCAAAATATTATTATATTATATTATATTATATTATATTATATTATATTATTAATAATTATATTATAATATTATAATACAGTATTCAAAGACTTGGAATTAAAGAACTCAAACATGCTCGGTGTTCCTCAAGCTTATAGAAGACATTTAAACCTCAAGTTGCGATACTGAGAATTCTATGCGCAAAATATTGAGTGACACTGGAAGCATCAAAAGAAAATGACAGGAATACAGTCTCTCTACCAAAAAGAACTGGTCAATACACAGCCATTTCAGGAGGAAACATACGATTAAGAATCAAGAGCATTTCAGGAAGAAGTTAAAGATGATGCACTGTTAGGATTGGCGAAAAGTAAGGCTCCAGGAATTGATAGAATAACAATTCAATTGTTTTAGCAAGTGGATACAGCTGGAGATGTGTTCACTGGCCTGTGTCAAGAAATTTGGAAAAATAACTTCTTGGCCAGCCACCCAAAAGAGATTAATATTTTTGCCTTTCCAAATGGGACAGGTAGAGACAGAATGTAAAAATTTGTGCACAATATCATTATTATCTTACACATTAAATACTATCTTAACATACGAGTAAAATCTTGCTAAAAATAATTTATAAACAATTGTAGCAGTATATCCACCAGAAACTGCCAGAAATTTAAGCTGGATTCAAAACAGGCTGGGAAAGAAGATTCATTATAGCTGATATCAGGTGGATCTTGGTTGAAAACAGTTTATATGCAAGAAAGTTTATATGCACTTTATTGATTATGAAACGGTACTTGTGTGGATCATAAGAAATAATGGGTAGTACTGATAAGAATAAGAATTCTCAAGTAATTAATTAGGCTTCTATTAAACTTGGACATATACCAACACACAGCAAATGAAATGGACTGACCCACGCCACGGTATTTTCAATTGCTTCAAATGGATGTGAAAGTTGAACAAGGAATAAGGAAGGCCAAAGCAGAAGGTCAAGGACTGCAGCCTTCAATATGGATTAAACTCAACATCAAGAAAACAGATTCTCACCACTGGGCCAGTTGGCAGCATCAGTATGGATGGTGAAGAGATTCGAGATAGTTAACAGTTTTAGTTTACTTGGTTCCACAGTCAACACTCTTGATAACAGCAGCCAGGAAATCAGGAGATGAATTGCATTGGGAAAGTCAGCTATGAGGGACCTCTCAAGAGTACTGAAGAGCAACAACATCAGGCTGGAGACTAAGGTGCGCCTGACCCAGGCTATGGTCTTTGCAATTAAGTGCTATGCATCAGAGAGTTGGACAGTGACTAGAGATGATAGAAAGAGAATTGATGCCTTTGAGCTGTGGTGCTGGAGAAGAGTGGTGAATATACCATGGACTGCTATGAGAACAAACAGGTTTGTCTTTGAGAGGGTGAATCCAGAATGCTCCTCAGAGTCAAGGATTCTAAGGCTTCATCTGACATGTTGCAAGAAGGGACTGGGCATGTTGCAAGAAGGACCTGGTCCTTGGAGAAGGACACCATGTTTGGAAGAGTGGAGGGACAGTGCAGGAGAGGAAGACCCTCGATGAGATGGATCGATTCTGTGAGTGGAGTGGTGGGAATGAGTGTGTTTGAGACAGCGAAGTTGGCACAGGATAGAACGGCGTTTAGGGCTCTTGTACATAGGGTTGCTATGAGTCGCAAGCAACTTGATGGCACATAACAACAACAACAACAACAACAAAGTAGAATGTCTGCCTTTGAATCAGCAAAGTATTGCATATTCCATGGCCTGCCAAAAGAACTAATAAATCTGTCTTGTAAGTTCAGTCAGAGTGCTCCTTAGAGGCAAGGATGGTGAAGTTACATCTCACATACTTTAAGCTTGTCAGGCGGGGTCAGTCCTTGGAAAGAGTCATTAAGCTTGATAGAGTGTATGTGAAAAAGAGGAAGATCTTCAATGAGAAGGACTGACATAATGGTTACAATAATGAATTTAAGCACAACAGAGTCTGAGAGGATGGAGACTCTGTGTTGTACATAGAGCTGATATAAGTTGGAACTGGCTGGACAGCACCTACCACAACCAACATAAATGTTATGTGCCCTCAAGTTGAAGCAGACTCAGCTGATTTTCCAATGGGGTTTCTGAGGCAGTAAATCACACAGGAGGAGATTGTCTGTATTTTTCCTGCAGAGCAGCTGGTGGATTCAAACCATGAACCTCTGGGTTGGCAGCACAACTCTTTACCATTATGTCACCAGAGCTATAAAAGTGTCAATAGAGTTACTATATACATTTATACATAGCTTTTTGTGTGAACATAAGTTTAATTTATCTAGAGTAAACATATGAGCCCCCAAAACTCTATTCTTGAAAAGTAAATATAGAAGTTATTCAATAAAAGTCTCTCACTATGTGTTGAGGTCCATATATTAGACAACACAGGCTTCCCAAATGTGTCTCCGAGAATTTCCAGATAAGGTACCTAGATATTTGTTGTTCTAGATACATCCTAATTTAGACTGATTTTTATTTCCCTCTCTTCTGCTTTCAGCTAACTTCAGTCAACCCGCTATCAAGGAAGATTTTAATTCATCAGGCAAGTCTGACATAAATCTGACATGCTTTTCTACACAAGGCTACCCACAACCTAAGGCAATGTATTTTTTGCTTAAAACGGAAAACTCAACTACCAAGTATCCTGCTACCATGGAGAAATATCAAGATAATATCACAGAACTTTACAATGTGTCTATCAGCTTATACTACACTGAACTTCATAATACAACAAAAATTAGTATCCAGTGTGTCCTTTGTGTTGCTGACGCCCAACCAGAGCGGACAGAGATGTGTTATTTCTCCAAACCGTATGTTAAAGGTAAAGCTACTTCCTATGAAAATTTATTTCAACAGGTATTATACATGAATGATCAAGACAGATCTTCCATAGGGTTCCTTAATTGGCACAAAAGCTCTAATTTGGCTATTATATGGTGCTGTTGGGAAGGGCCTAGGGAGGACTGATGGAAGGACATAGGAAGGACTAGGGAGGACATAGGAAGTTGCACTTCTAACCCAAAGGCTGTGTACCTCCAGTGGCCCGAATCAACCAGAAGCTCCATGGAGAAAGGTGAGCATTTTCCTTCTGTTGTGATTTATAACCTCAGAGACCCAATAGAGGTTATTCTGGGTCAGAGCCAACTCAATAGTGTTAACTGAGTGACTGGAAAGGACTCAGATAGAAGGCCCCGGCTTCATTGGCTGAGAGGTACCATGAATGAGGGCCTAGCAGCCTATGAGCATTCAAGGAAGTATGTTCTTTGCTCAAGATTGACCCATTCATTTGAGGTAACTTTATATAGAAGTTTCTAAACTTTAGGTTATTAAGTCCAGACTTCTTCCAAGCTATAATGCTTCTATTCATTAAAGTAATGCATACATTTCAGACATGCATGTGTGTGAGTACATACATACATATGACTTTTATTATGAATACAAAACCATCCTAGACATCGTTGGTCAGGAAAGAGAAAATGAAAATTTATAACACACACTCACTTCCCTTGAAAGCAGACAGACCTTCCAGTTGAGTTAGAAAGCCGTGATGTGCACACAAAGAAACTCACTTTTGAAAACCACGCATTTCAGTCTGAATTCTATTCCGTAGAAATACATCACTAAATTTCAAACAAGAGGCACCAATAAACAGTTTTCTTGGATATTCAGAGACATGTCAAATCCTTGAGAGTCAAGAGATTTTCTTAAAGGAAGAGGAACTCTATATCCTATACATCAAAGGAATAAATAAGTGAACTTTAAAAATTTGGTGAAGAGATGTCTAAAAGCATTGTAGCCATCAAATAAATGGACAGTGGCTTCCTGAACAGTAGGATTTCGAGGCCGGGTCCAGCCTCTGTCGACCAACAGGACCACATGGATTAGCAGCGTTTGATGGGGGCACAGGAAGTGATAGCAGACATCAGCACACGTGACAGAGAAGGACTCAGACTGATTTACTACTGCACATTCACAGTGCAGAGCAAGGGAAGTCCATGTGGGGGAAAAGGTGAACAGACTGTCACTAGAAAGGTTCCTTGTTGCCCTCGAAGGAAAACATCCACAGTTGAGCCTTTATTATTGAGAAGCAGGAACTTCAATATTTGTCTCCTGTAATCCATACTGTCCTGATCACTGACATTGACCCTGATTCCTCCTCCTACTCCATTGCCTTTCTGCTTGCTTTGTTCCTCCTCTCGCCTCTTGGTTTAACTCCTTCCTGGCATTCCCCCAACCCTTTGCTCTGCCCTCTGGTTTTGCTTGCCTCTTGTCTCCTAGCATCTCCTCGTTCTCACCTAACTCAGCTCCTAGACACACTCAACTGGGAAGCCCCTGGGGCCAGTCCTGACCGACCAACCCCACAACTGATCCTAGTACAGCTTTCCTTCCCCACCTCAAGCCCTCCGTCTCTGAGAGTTCAGGCAATGATGAGGCTGTCCAGTTTGTCCTAGTCGCTTCTACAGCAGCCTCTCTTGATGCAATAGAGCCCCTCCTCAGCTGTGCCTGAAGATTTGCACTTTTTTTGGAACCACCGGCATCACTACATGCAGCATCATGTCCTGAAGTCCTCTACCCAAATTCCCATCGTCTATCACTGCTCTCTTCAGGATCACCATTGTTCTACTACTCAACTGCTACCCAAATATCCTGGCTACCATCGTCTTCAGAAGTGTGTCGCTCCGGTGGCCTCAGGAATAATGAGACTTGCTTCTTTGTTTCCTCTATTATGTGTTGATAAAGGATCAGGGCCTTTTTGGTTATATCAAAGGTAGCAGCCCTCATGTTAGCAAGTATAACCTCCTTGCCTGAACAATTCAAAAAGACTCAAGAGAGACAAGGTGAGACCGACTTGAAAGGTGTTACATATGTTGTGCAAAGCCACTAACACCTTTTTTTAATGTCTCAGGCACAGAGGATGTGTCCATGAATAAGAGGCAAGCTAACTGAAGGTCAGCTGGCCCTCGAAAGAGCTGGCCCTGTAGTTTGGAATTTACTACCAGAACTAGCCCTATAAATAGTTACAAAATGGAACACTCATTGTTCTTCTCCAATGTCTGCTTTTCAACTTCTTGGAAACTTAGAAGTCAATTCTGAGCAATAAGGAGGCCTTGGACACTGTTTCCTCAGGGAAGGGAGAGCTATCGAAGGTTTCCTGGTAGAATGAAACATGCCAAAAGTCCACTATACACTCCATTGGAGCAGGAGGCTGGAGTTAGTCTGTCATCTGTCCAAATCCAAAGTGTCTCAACTCGATCCCAGATGATAGTGAACAGCCGAGTCATCGCAAGAGACACTTCAGAACACGGAGACTAAACACACATGGGGTCAGAGAAGAAGGGCGTTGAACAGACAATTGTGTATTTGGAGCCTCAGGATGGATACCTTATCCACATTCCAGAGCTAAGGGCCTGGGTTGAACCTCTTCTCTCAGATCCAGTCAGTAGCCTTCCAGCCTGTGGAAATAAAAAGCATCTCAGTCCAGAAATGTGACTTAAAAGCTCTGTCTGAATCTTAGCTGCTAAAGTCCTGACAGTGGGACCTTCAGGGGTCCCCAGTTGGGGATTTCGGACTCCTCTAGCCTTAGAGGCCTGGGGAGATGAAGGCAGGTAGATAAGGAGCAGAGCAGCAGCAAAGACAAGCCTTCTAAGGGCCCTGCCAGATGATTGAAAACGAGTGGTCTTTTCTAGATCCAGAGAAATCTGAGCCACGCTCTCCTCCGAAAGATCCCATAGTCTGGATTGCTGTTACCCTCCTACTGGTCAGTGCGGTATTCTTTCTAGTGCTCTGGAAGAAGAAGAAGCGGCAGCCCAGCCTCTCTCACGAGGATCATGAATGTGGTGAGTCAGTCCTTGTCAGATTGTCACTGTGCAGCTGCTTTCACATCTTCTGCCTTCTGCACCCCACCAGCTAGCACCCTGGGACCTAGACAGGCACAAAGCCTGGTAGTTGTTGGAAAAAAAGTGCCCCTCACAGTTTAGAATCCAGATCGATTGGCTTCAGCTGATACTCTTGTTCTGGATTTCTATAAAAGTCAACATTTCTATCCAAGTTTTACCTGCAGAAACTCCTGGTTTCCAAACAAAGCTGATTATTCCTTGTTTTGTTTACCTCAAACTCTTGTGGTCTAGCGGATAGGGAGTTGTGCTGTCAACTCCAACACAGATGGTTCAAATCCACCACTTGCTCAAAAAAAGAAAATGGGCAATCTCTTGTTATATAATTTACAGCCTCTGGAAACCTGCTGGAAGGTCAGCTCTGAGTAGTTCTAACTTGATAGCAATGAGTTTTAGGGTTTTCTATCTCCTTTACTCAAGGCACTAACTACTAAGAGAACTCGCTGAGGTAAAATGGTGAAAACTTTTATTTTAAACGTGAAAGGTTTCAGTCTTCAGGCAGAGATGTTTGTTAAGAGAAGGGAGAATTAGCTAAACAGAAGAGTCACTCTCCTACCTCTAAGAGTCTATCCTGTGAAATAAGTTAGTGGTGTTTTACTCCAGTGACTTTAAAAAAAATGATGTGAACTTTTACTTATTACATAGGAATATGTATAATATTCATATTATCTATTCAACTAGTGGCTTAGTGGTAAGGAGTTGTGCTGCCAACTCAAAGTCAAGCAGTTCGAATCCATTCGCTGCTCCATGGGAGAAAGATGGGCAGTTTCCTTCCTCCCACGCAATTAACTGCCTCTGTAAACCCACTTGAGGGTCAGCTATGGGTCAGTTCTGACTTTACAGTACACAACAACAGCATTTAACTATTGAAGAGAAAAGTGTGAATCAAGCAGTGGTGTCATTTGAGTAAGGGTGGGACTCTACTCACTCCACACTAATTCTGCCTCATTACCATTGAGGTCAGGATTGATAGGACAGCACAAAAGGCAGATAATTGCATCAGATTACAAAATGGAGTACAGCCACATAATAGTAAGAATCATGGTCTAGCCACACTCACACATATATTTAGGAGTTATGATTCAATCTTTGACAGTTTATAAATAAACTGTTCCTAAATTTGCTTTCATTTTGAAATGAATAGCTTACAGATTTAAAAAAAAAAATGAAGAGTAAGAACACGTTTCTTCCTCCATAAGGCAATCCTAACAATTTAGGTGACTAGATAAGAGAGGGGAGTTTTGGTGCCCGGTTGGTAAGAAGTTGTGCTACAATCTCAAAGATATGGGTTCAAATCCACCAGCTGTTCTTCAGAAGAAGGATGGGTAATCTCCTTCTATGCATTTACTGCCTCTGAAATCCCACTAGAGGCTCAGCTATGAGTCTGTTCTGACTCAACAGCAAACAACAACAACAGATAAGAGGGAGCCAGGCAAAGATGTCAGTCTAGAGAGTAAGGTGCACCTGATCCAAGCCATGGTCTTCACAATTACATGGCATGCATCAGAGAGGACAATGACTAAGGAGGACAGAAGAAGAATTGCTGTCTTTGAGTTGTGGTGCTGGAGAAGATTATTGAACATGCCATGGACCACCAGAAAAAACAGGTCTGTCTTGGAGAAGGTGAAACCAAGTTTCTTCTTGGAGACAAGGATTTTGAAGCTTCATATCACATACTTTGGGCACACAGCCAGGAGGGACCAGTCCTTGGAGAAGGACCTTATGCTCAGAAGGGTGGAGGGACAGCTCAGGAGAGGAAGACCCTGAAGGGGATGGATTGACACAATAACTAGGTCAATGAGGATAGGTGTGTTGGAGTCAGTGAGACTGGCTCAGGACAGGGCAGGGTTCAGAGCGACGGTACAGAAGGTCGCTATGAATTATAGGTGACTTGATGACACATAACAAGTGGCTCAGTCCAACGGAACAGCTCTCTAACCCAAAGGCCACACACTTCTCTGGTGGTTCCAATGAACTATCAGCTCTATGGGAGAATGATGGACAAAATTCTCATGCAATTTGTTGTTGTTGTCAGGAACCTTGGAAATCCAGTGGAGGATCAGATGTCAGTTCACTTCGATGGCAATGGGTGGAGGGAGTTTATTTGTTTGTTTGTTTGAGATAAGAAGGTTAAAGAGGAGGCATATACACATATGAGGGAAGTTGGAAAGGGCTAAAGAAGCTGTATGTTTGTATATAAGATGGTCACACTGAACAGTGTGAGTGTTGAAGAAGTGAAGTCAATGAGAGGTCATGATATGTAGATGACCTCCAAGAAAGAAAGAAAGAAGGTTTGTAGGAACTAGTTAGCTGGTCAAAAAGTCACCAGTGAGTGCCAATGAGCTTAGTCAAAGCTAAGAGACTGCATCCTTTGGAGGAGAGATGCATCATGTAACCATTCTACTGAGACATGAAATGTTTTAAATTTGGTGTCTGTCATTTCAGCAGGGTCCACACTTGCTATGTGGATACTTCTGCTACCGGCCAGGTGGCAGGCAGAGTAATGTGCTCCCAAAGATGCCCTTGTCCCAACAGCCAAAACTCGTGAATATGTCATTTTCATGGTGAAAGGAATTGTACAAATGTAACTAAGGGTGCTCAATCTTAAATTTATAAACTTATCCTGGACTATCTGAGTGGGCCCAAACTAATCACATGAATGGGTTGGAAGGATAAGGCCGAAGGAGAGAGCTGAATCTTGACGACTTGAGCGATGGTTGTTGGCTTTGAAGATGGACAAAGAGGGTTATTAGCCAAGGAATGTGAACAACTTCTGCAAGCCAAGAATGATCTTCAGAAGTCCAGCTGCAAGAAAACAGGGCCGTAGTTCTACAGTTGCAAAGATCTAAATTCTGACAACATGCAGACGTGCAGTCATGAGTGAACCACAGAGGCACACATTTACTAAGAGCCAGTGGTATTTCTCTTCCTCCTAACTGAGCATCAGTGCTTTCTCAGGCAAGGCACCCTTCAACTAACTTGGCATTAGAAGTCCCTTTGTTATGCCTGTTCACTAATTACACTCTTTAAAGCCTCAACTACATGCACTGATCCTGTTTATATTGTTAGCTTGAATAAAAGGAAATATCAAGGTTACCTTCTCTTCTTTTTTTGTTTTGCCAAGTAGGACATGAGAAATTGGAATCATGAATTGCCTTTTCCAGTCAGAAGTTACTCTATCAGTTCAGGGACCAAAGAGCAAGACTTAAACAGCTCTGTCTTCTGAAGATTTACTTCCTCATTTGGGTCTTGTTTGACTGAAATCAGTATAGAAAGGGGAGTAACCAGCATGTTTTAAAACTTGCCTCTCTTGACAAAACAACAGGAGTCATAGTCCTTCTCAGGAATTTCTAAAAGGGCAAGTGTCTCTTCCAAAGGAATCTTTTTTTTTTTAACCAATATTTAGATGGAAATCTATGCCAGAGTTTAACAACTCAATGCTGATAATATCATCAAACTGTCGTTCTTATTTTTTTTAATTAAGAAAAGAGTGGATAAATAATGTACAAACTGTCTTTCAAAGTGATTAATGAAGGACAAACATTTTAAAGCTGTTTTATTGTTTGTTTTGGGATGGGTTTTTTTGTTCTATTGCTTTTTAATTGTCAGCTTTCATTTTTATACAGAAACTTAAAAAAATATTTTGTCACCACAACAAGATAAACAATTCAATTGAAAAATGGGCACAGGATATGAACAGACACTTCACCAAAGAAGACATTCAGATGGCCAACAAGCACGTGAGGAAATGTTCAAAATCCCCAGCTCTAAGAGAGATGCAAATCAAAACAACTATGAGGTATCATCTCACACCAGTCAGAATACCAAAATTTAATAGAGGAGCAAACAACAAATGCTGGCGAGGTTGTGGAGAAACTGGAACCCTTATGTACTGTTGGTGGGAGTGTAAAGTGGTGCAACCACTGTGGAAGGCAGTATGGCGCTTTCTCAAAAAGTTACAAATAGAAATACCTTTTGACCCAGCACTTCCTCTTCTAGGAATATACCCTAAAGAAATCTTAACTGTCACCCAGGCAGATATATGCATACCCATGTTTATTTCAGCTTTGTTCACAATAGCAAAGAGTTGGAAACAACCCAAATGCCCATCAACAAACGAATGGACAGAGAAGCTCTGGTATATTCACACAATGGAATACTATGCTGCATTGAAGAACAAGGAACTCATACAATATTATTCAAAATGGGTGACCCTGGAGGACATTATGCTGAGTGAAATATCTCAGTTACAAAAGGCAAATACTACATGGTGCCACTGTTATAGAATGGGACTGACATCAGGGGTGGGGTGACAGTGAGAAAAATGAATAAATTATGTATACTGCATTGAAACAGATGAGGGAGAGAGCAATTTAAAAGTGATATATGATTGGATATTACGGTTATCACAGGAGTCCAGAATGAAGGTTGCATAGTGGAGTGTTCTCAGGGGCAGGAGCCGGGGGGGGGGCAGAAGGGCGGAATTGTACACCAATGAAAGAATTTTTCTTTTAATTTTCAAAGATAAGTGCGAACTAGGTGGTGGGGAGGAATGGGCAGGGAGAAAAATGTGACAATGAATGAATGGAAATCCAAAATATCTGTAAATGTTCATTAAAATAAATAAAATAAAAGTTTTTAATAAACAAAAAATTTTGTTATGAGTTTGAAAGAATTATCAGTCTTTATTAGTCTAGAGGCATCTGAAAGAATGCATTTAGCTATTTTTTTAAAAAAGCCAACAACAAACACACAAACAAAACAAACCCCACCACTGTCATTGAGTTGATTCCAACTCACGAGAACCACATGTTCTACAGAGCAGAATTTCTCCATAGGATTTTCTGGGATGTAATCATAGCGGAGCCCAGTAGGTTAAGGAGTTGAGCTGCCAACCCAAAGGCAGGTGGCTGAAATACACTAGGTGCTCCACAGGGAGAAAGATGGGCAATTTCCTCTCATATGATTTACATCCTTAGAAAGCCCACTGGAAGGTCAGCTATGACTTGGCTCTGACTCGATGGCCCTTAACAACAATGACTATAATAGAAATAGAGTATGAATCATCATTGTATCATTGGGTAGACTTGAACTGCTAACCCTTTGGTAAGAAGTTGAGTATAAACTGTTTTGCCAGCTAGGAACTTGTATTTAGCTATAAACCTCGTCATTTTAAAAGGACTTTTGATAAAAATAAAGCCTAACCAGATATGTAAAATGTCAAAGAGCTTGGTCAAATGAGAAATGGTTGAAATAACTGATGTGGCTCAGCTTGAAAAAGAAGTATGGAACAGAACAAGAAGATGACTTTTTTCAAAAAAGAGCTAATTTGTGACTCAACTCCTTAACCTGTATGACTTCAAAGGAAGTATCAATAAATGATGACTTTAAGAGATATTAAGAAAATAAGAAGGAATTTTCAAGCAATTCAAGTTCTTTTGCTAGAAGAAATAGACTTTGTTTTCACTTGTGAAAAGGTAATTTGTTAAAGGAATTTCTCTCCTGCCATAAACAACTAGAAAACAGACAGGATTTCAACCGATTGTTCAAAGATGGAAAAAAATTAACTGAGTCCTATGATTGGCCCAATTACTGTCTGTGGTCAGTTTCCAGGCTGTTCTACTGATAGGAGGAGCCCTGATACTAAAGAAAAGAGCATTATAAGCAAACTATAAATGTTCACTATAAACATAGCTGCCAAAAGCATTAACTAAACTAGCACTTTACTAAACATGGAACATATCATGATCAAATGGAGGCTCAACATTAAACAAGAGTTGAACAACAAATCTACCATAAGAATACAATAAAAAAGAAAACTATGTGCTATAAGAGTGAAAATTCTTTTAGAATTTCTTTTTATAAATTATATTTCATTTTAATATTACTTTTCCCTTCATCCAACTTATCTATTTATTAATTTTTGTTTCCCCTACCTCTTTTCTCATCTCTATCATCCTTCCAAAATTTATTGTCTGTAAACCTTTCCTTAAATTAATGAATTTCTGGGAAAAAAATAGTAGTAAATCTTGTGACCTTCTCTCTCGTTGTCATCAAGTTAGAAGAGACTCATATCTGACCCTCCAGTGGGTTTCTGAGGCTATAGATTGCCTCTATTTTTCCTACTGAGCCACTGATGTGACCTTTGGTTAGTCAAAATCTCCTTTGATTGTATATAAAAAAGCAAGAAGAATTTGTACCAATTGATAAGGTGCATTTCATCAACATCAGAAACTTTGCATTTTCAGAGGAAAATGGAAAGTCAGGCAACTGGGAAAACGGTTTGTGAACTATGTATTTGATGAATAATTTCTTTCTATCCAAGATAAAGAAATTACTACTCAATGATAAGAAGATACAAATTTAATAAAAGATAGAGGACAAAAGATTTTCTAAATACCTCACAGAATGAGAGATACAAATGGCCAATAAGTAAAGTGACTTAGTCACATCAGTAGTAGGACAATGCAAGTTAAAGTTACAATGAGATGCCACTATATACTAAATACATACACTACACACATACATATACTTTTTCATACTAAAATGAAAAAGGTTGATGATATTAAGGGATGGCAAGGATATAAAGTAACCAGAACTTTTATGTACTGCTGTACAAAGCGGCCATCCTAGGTGTTTACCTACGAAGAAGGAAAACATAAGCATTAATATAGAAATGTCAATAGTAGCTTTATTTTACCCCAAAACTAGCCACTTACAGTTTCTATCGGCTTGTGAGTGGGTAAATAAATGTTGAGATTCTCAACATTTTTATTACTGAAGAGTAGAAAATAATCAACTCCTAGCCACAAAATTGATGAAACTCCCCCTCCACAAAATTATGCTATATCAAAGAGGCTAGGTACAAAAAGGACTAATAATGTGTGATTTTATCTCTATGAAATGTTCGAAAGAGTAAAAGTATTTGGACATTGAACAAATCAGTGTTTACCAGGGAATGTGATGGGATTGGAACTAAAAAGAGGGGAAAAAGAAACTTTTTAGAATGAAATAAATGTTGTAAATCATAATTGCAAGGGTAGTTACATGACTGTATATACATACTTGTGCATCTTATTAATCTCTATACTGAAAAATATTGAATGTTACTGAATATTTATTCTATTCCATAATACTAAATACACACCCACACACGTACACACATACCAGTTGCTGCCAATTCATTTGAACCACCCAGAGGCTCCAAATATCTATAGACCCATCCACCTATCCATCCATCAATTTATATACTACCAATAAGAGCAAATGTTCAAGAAGACCCTCGTATCAAAGATTGACTGGTCAAACCATCAGAATGTTGTTGCGAGGATTCCTGCAGCCCCCTAATTCCCGCAGGGAAATCCACTTAACAAGTCCGGCTGTGAGGCTCTGAGTGGGACCTACAGTAGCATTTTCACAGCAGTCAGCTAAAGGAATTTATACCTCAAATTGCATCAGCAGTAAATCCACATCAGTAGCAACACAGGCTTTGTAGGGGTTTCTGACTGGAATCCATCCCCTGCCACATTGTACAGCACTGGTAGTGCCGGCTGGCCAGCCCATGTGGGCAGCAGCCTTTTCCTGATTGGCCTTGTCTCCTTCTAAATCTTGCTTTCAGAGGATGGGAAACTTTTTTTTTCCCAATTACTCAACGATTGCTGAAATGTAATGTGTCGCCTCTCTCAATATTCTCTTTGTTTCAGCAAAGAAAAGAGCTTTAAATGAAAATCCCATTTTGAAGGTATAATTTATGGGCCAGTGATAAGTGGTAGGCATTACTTTTTGGATGCAAAGAACTCCTTTCTAGTTCCCCTGAAAAATGTATCATTTAAGCAACCAGCTATTCCAACAGAAGGCCGCAGTTCTCACTCTAGCCCGAGACTTTGGAAATTCTTCAAACTTTCTTACTTTACATTACTGTGAACAGTACATTTTCTGAGGTTGTTTTCGCTCTCTTTCAGACCGCCTTAAAGTGGAGCTGGAAGAGACAGAAAAGGCCAAGCACAGGTGAGTCCTGACATTGTCGAAAGAGGTGTGATCTCTAGAGAGTCTATAACTTAGATAGGCTTGAGTTTAAGGATTATAGAGACATCAGTCACCATGAACTGCGACGGAGGAAGAGGAAAGTCAGGGTAGTTAGGATCTGAAGAGAAATGGCAGGCCGTTCAATGTGTCACACCTAAGAGGTGCAGCAGGCACAATTACTGTCACTTTAAAAACGGGGGTCGGGTCGGGGAAGCACTCAAGTTGGAATGCTGACCCTCTAAAGGGCTTGCAGAGGCAGTATATACATATATTTTGGAAGCAGGAATGGTGCCCACTTCCTAAACAACATGCCTCTGGAAACTCCATGAACCTTGAGAAATGTTGATAGTTATAGAACAGAATTCAGGTCTTTTGTTCATAGGTTCACTATGAGTCTTGCTCAACTTGACAGCAATCAACAACAACATATATATTATACTTTTATAATATATTAAACGATCCAGGAAGTATTAAAAGATGATGGAAGGAGTATACAGAGTCAAAAGGAATTGGAGGACACAGAAGAATTTCATGAAACAATGAGCCTGTGGTGATGAAGGAAGAAGTTCAAGCTGCTCTGAAAGAACTGGCAAAAACAAGGCCCCAGGAACTGATGGTTCAATTGATATATTTCAGCAAACAGATGCTGCCCTGGATGTGCTCACCAAGTTGTGCCAAGAAATCTAGAGCACAACCTCTTGGCCAACTGACTGGAAGAGATCTATATTTGTTCCCAGTCCAAAGAAAAGTGACCCAACAGAGTGTGGAAACTATAGAACAATATCATTGCTATGACATGCAAGCAAGATTCTGCTGAAGATTATCGAAAAATGACTGGAACAGCACATCAACAAAGAACTGCCAGAAGTGCAGGCTGAGTTTAGAAGAGGCCGTGGTATAGGATATGGTAGCCTTTGTTAGATGAATCTTGGCTGAAAGCAGGGAGTACCAGAGGAATGTCTATCTGTGTTCCATTGACTATGCAAAGGCATTTGACTGTGTGAATCACAACAAACTTTGGCTAACTCTGAGAAGAATGGGAATACCAATACACTTGATTGTACTGATGCAAAACCTATACTTGGACCAGGAGGCAGTCATCAGAACAGAGCAAGGAAACACTGCATGGTTCAAAATTGGGAAGGGAGTATGGCAGGGATGTGTCCTATCTCCATACCTTTTCAATCTATATGCAGAACAGATTATTCAGGAGGCTGGGTTCTATGAGAAGAAATGTGGCACCAGGATTGGAGGAAGATTCATCAATAAGCTGCATTATGCAGATGTCACAACCCTGCTTTTTGAAACTGAAGAGGACCAGAAGTGCTTGCTGCAGAAGGTCAAGAGTTACAGCCTTCAATGTGGATTGAAGCTCAACATCAAGAAAACAAAGATTCTCACCACTGAGCTAATTGGCAACATCATGATGGCTGGTGAAGAGACTGAGATTGTAAACAGCTTTAGTATGCTTGGCTCCACAATCAACACTCTTGGCACCAGCAGCCAGGAAATTAAAAAAAGTATTACAATGGGAAAATCTGCTGTCAGAGACCTCTCCAAAGTACTGAAGAGCAATGATTTCTGTCTGGAGACTAAGGTGCACCTGAAATAGGCCATGATCTTTGCATCACTTGCTATGAATCAGATAGCTGGACAATGACTAGGGATGATAGAAGGAGAATTGATGTCTTTGAGCTGTGGTGTTGGAGAAGAGTTTAAATATACCATAGACTGCTAAAGAGAATTAACAGGTTTGTCCTGGAGAGGGCTAAACCAGGTTTCTCCTTGGAGTCAAGGATTCTGAATCCTCACCTGACATACTTTGGACATGTTGAAAGTAGGGACCAGTCCTTGGAGAGAAATGTAATGTTTCAGAGTGTGGAGGGACAGGGCAGGAGAGGAAGACCCTCGATGAGGTGGATTGATTCAGTGACTGGGGTAATGGGGGTAGGTGTGTCAGAGACAATAAGATTGGCACAGGATAGAGCAGAGTTTAGGGTTGTTGTATATAGGGTCACTATGAATTGCAGGCAACTCAACAGCACATAACAGTAAACAACAACAATTAATATAAAATCTGGTGGTCTAGTGGCAAGAAGCTGCACTGCAATCCATGCGGTTCAAGGTCACCAGCTGCTCCACGAGGTGACGGATGGGCAAGCCCCTCCCATGTCTCTGTCTCTGAAAACCTGCTGGAGATACAGCTATATATTGCTATATATATCTATACATGCTGCCCATGCCTATAAACATATACACATGTAGAGCGCTGGTGGCCTTAAGAGGCTGCACTCCAATCTTAAAGGCATGCTATCCAAATCCACCAGCCACTCCACAGGAGAAGGATGGGCAATCTCCTCCCAGGTAAATTACTGCCTCCAAAAACTCACTGGAGGGTCAGTTATGGGTCAGTTCCAACTCTAAGACACACAACAACAACAACAACTCTGTGTGTGTGTGTGCGAGAGAGAGAATCATACATATACACATATATATACATATACACACATGTACATATATATAACTCATTGCTATCAAGTTGGAACTAATATAGAACTGACCTTCCAGCAGATTTTCAGAGGCTGTAAATCACCTGGGAGGAAACAGCACATCATTCTCTCTCCTTTGGAGCAGCTGGTGAATTTGAACCACCTGCCTTTGTATTGACAGTGCAATTCCCTACTTACAAGGCTATCAGAGCTCCCATACATATACAATATCCATGTTATAGACAAGGGAGAGAATTGTTTAAAAGGAATATTATTAGATATTATTGGCATGACAAGAATCCAGAATAAGAGCTGCATAGTAAAGTGGAGGGGGCGGGAGGGAGGGCAGTACTGTATAACAAGGAAAGAATTCTTTTTTTTCAAAGAGAAAAGCTAACTGAGGAGGGAGGGGAAGCAAGGAGAAAAATGTGTAACAATGAATGAATGGAAATCCAAGTTCTCTATAATCTTCCATTAAAATATCAATTAAAATCCAAACAATATACGTGTTGTTGTTGTGTGCTGTTGAGTCCACTATGGTCTTACAGCAACCATATGAACAATGGCCCCATATTGAACAGTCTCCAAAACAATTGACTCAATTGCCACAGTCATTGTGTCAATCCAACTTGACAAGGGTCTTCCTCTTTTACGCTGTCTCTCTGTGTGTATGTGTATACATAAACAAATGAATAGATAGATAGATAGATAGATAATAGATAGATAGATAGATAGATAGATAGAGAGAGATAGAAATAGATGATAGATAGATAGATAGATAGATAGATAGATAGATAGATAGATAGAGTTTTTGGTTTTGTGTACCATTGAGTCAGAACTGACCCATAGTTGAGCCTCCAGTAGGTTTTCAGAGATAGCTAATCATATGAAAGGAGATTGCCCATCTTTTTCTCTGCAGAGAAGCTGGTGGACCTGAACTGCATGCCTTCAGGATTGCAACACAGCTTGCCACCATTAGGCCACCAGAGCTCCCTGGTGGAGCTACAGAGAGAATGACATTGTGTTTCCTCCAGCCTCCACGTGTGTAGTTGCTATGTCCTCTGACTGGCTGTGTTCGGCTGCCACACTGCCGACACAAGCAGCACTATCTCCGAAATTCTTCCCAAACTAATCATGGTTCCCTGTTAGTATCATGTGAATCCCTATGCTTCTTCTTTATAAAATTAACCAAGTTGCATTTATATGTTTGAGTAATTATTAACTAAATTCGACCATATTGAACTCGAGGATCAAAAGCATATCGGTTAAGCCATCATTGGGATGCCAGCACCCAGCAAAGTACCTGGTTGTTGTTATGTGCCGTCAAGTCGCCTGCGGCCCATAGCGACACTATGTACAGCAGCTCTAAGCCTGCCCTGTCCTGAGCCAGTCTCACTGACTCTGACACCCCTACATCCATTGCCCCAGTTACTGTATCAGTCCATCTCCTCTGGGGTCTTCCTCTCCTGAGCTTTCCCTCCACCCTTCTTAGCATGATGTCCTTCTCCAAGGATCAGTCCCTCGTGCCGACTTACCCAAAGTATGTAAGACAGACCTTCAAAATCCTAGCCTCCAAGGACTTAGTGAATATCTAATGAAGGAATAAGTGCATGTGTGAAAGAATGGATGAAGTTCTCTGATGCTAGATCCTTTCCAACATGCTGTCTGTACTCCACTCTCCCCCCAAGCCCCTCAGAGACAGGGGGTTCTCGGGCTCTCTGGCTGTGTGACTTGGCTGTGAAATCTTCTTGCCTAATTATTCCTTTTCTCTATTTTCCAGAGTAAAAGACAATGTACTTGCAATTCCTGTTGAAGAAGACATGCCTGATGTTAACATTTCTAAGACGCCCTCTTCTGACGACAATAGTGCTGCTAGCATTAATTAAAGTCCCTATAAGTACTCATTTTTATATCCTTTTCTCTGCAAGTTTCTAGCCAGCCTCTTTGTTCTCTCTTTAAAACTTCCTAGAGGAGAAGAAAATACTACCAATAGTGGGAATGGGGCCTTCGTCTAGATGGAATAAACTGTGGAATAACCACCTTATAATGTGGCTCTAATCTCTGTGTCAAGACCAACTTTAACTCTTAACTGTATTTTTTCCATCTCAGAGCACACTTGTGAGCTAACCCCATCTGGGGCTCTTGAACAGACAGGGAAGAATGCTTAGGACCCATTCCTTATGTTGTAGATCTAGCTGCCTATCCTGGTTGTAGTAATTGTGATTTTACGTGGACCCCCAGGTCTTGGAATCTTGGCTTTTATCTCCTTCGGACTCTAAGATGGTGCCTAATCTCACCTTGTGACTTGAGACTGAACACCTGCATCTTCAATCTGCATGAGAGTTATGTATGTCTTTGTGGTTGGAATAGTCACATCTTAAAATACAAAGAAACCTGTACTGTGATGAACTCATCACTACACCCTGGAGGACTTGACCTGCTCATGCAGGTTCATCTCCATGTTTGTCTTAGTGAGGAAAGTGTTCTGGTAGCAGTGAACACTCCAGCTCAAAGCTGAGCCATTAAGGGAGGCAGACAGCACCCACTCAGGATCCTAGATCTACTTCCATCTAGGATGTTGCTCATATGGAAGGAGATCCACGTACGCAACAACCTTCTAATAAACCTCAGCAGAGATAGCAGTGAATCAAGCAAAAAACACTCAGAACTCTGTCTTCAAAAAATGGCTGAGCTGCCCACCTAACCTACTCAGATGTGTGGATGAGTAGGGAAACCTTGTTGGCTTGAGGAGCTGGGTGTCATGAGGACCCCTGGCTTGTTGACTGGGTCCTAAGTCAGTGCTAGGGCTGAGCAAAAGACCGGCAGGCCTGGATCCCAGGGAGAAGTGTGGTCCCCTGAGCTTCCACATGAGGCCCAGTGAGCCTGGACACAGAAGGCTGGCAATGAATTGACCAAAACCCATCCAGATGAAGAGGGTGATCCATCCTGTGAGCTGCGGTCGACTGCAACATAATGGCCTGCTCAGGACTGGTCTTTGCTTGTGCCTGCAGAAGCTCAAAAGTGCCGAGTTGAACAGAGGATTCTTCAGCAAAAAGACCAGCCTTATTCCCTCTGAGTACTGGTTAGCTAGGAATGGGCAAATTAGATATTAGCTATCGAAAAGGGGGGCATTAGGGCATAAGACATGATGTAGCTGGCTTGCATCCTTTCATAAAGGAATTTATTAGTAAGATGATTGAAAAAGGAGAAAAATAATCCCCAATGCACCTGAACAAAATATAAATGAAACTAAGTGGCATCCACTTCCTAAACAACATGCCTCTGGACTCTATGGACTTTGATAGATGTCGATAATCATAGAAAGGCTTCAGGCCTTTTGTTCATAGGGTCACTATGAGTCATGCTCAACTCGGCAATCAACAACAACAATCATATAAAGAAATACTTTCTTTAAAAAAACATGGCTGAGAGAATGGTCTGGAGCAAATGTGCAAGTATCAACAGAGAAGTTGTAATACTTAAAAGAGAAAGCAAAGAAGAAGAAGAAAAACCAAGATCTTGGGCAACAGAAATGCAGTCCCTGAAGAAGCCTTGGAAAAAGAAGCAAATGGGCAGCCTTTCTGAAATGGAGCTAAGACAACCGAAAATTTCCCTAGTGATCAGGGAGAGGAGGAAAGGATTTGGATGAACTCCAATTTATGGTATTGTTTTACCTGGCTGGAAGCAGAGATGGCTCTAATAGCCCAGCTAAAAAGAGTTAGGGCATCCTGGCTTTAAGGAGGCAACTCTAAGGGAGGAACAGCCTTGGTCTAAACCCAGGAGAACTTTGGGAGACAGAAGCCTGGTGAAGCTGGGCTGTGTGAGCCAACCAAGCTGCGTGACAACCATGTGACCTGCACGGTGCAGAAGGCCTCTGGAAACGGGGATTTGATGTGTATTAGGAGAGCTAGAGCACACAGGAAATGTTTTAAGATGTGGAGACCAACAATAAAAAATGTGAAGAGAAAAACAAAGACAAAGGAGGAATGGAGGAAGAGTTCTGAAAGAGACTTCCTCTCACTGGGAGAGAGAAAAGAACTGATTTGCTTGTCTCCCAAGACCCTGCAGATGGATTACAAGGTACATGTCTACAGATTCCCTTAGAGCTTAAAAAGAATGGAATGAACGTTCCTGTTTGACGGGTACAGAGATAAACCCTTCGGACTGCAACAAAAACCCAGTTGCAGAGATCTGGGAATCTGCATTTGAACAAGACATTTGCAAACCCTATGTCACGATTTTAAAGTCTGAAAGTAGGAGCATTGTGGGAGTTGGCCTTGAATTCTTTTCATTGTTCAAGGCTGGGAGAGGGGCAGGGGAGGAGAAATATTTCTCTTCCATGAAGCCTTCACAACCTGATGGAAAAGGGAATTTGCTATGTTCTCTTCTAAAGTTTTAGAAGAAAGGAAGACCTATGACATCAGTGGTCCTTTTTATTCTATCTAATGGGCCCTCGCCATTTACATTGGGGACAGCTGTGCCTGGTGATGGATCCTACATGTGTCAGAGGATAACTATGGTCCATAAGCTTTTCAGGGGCTGATTTTGCCCTGGCCCCCAGCAACCCACTAAGGGTCTCTGGAGGGTTGAAAACTGCTCTGCTAGCTGTGTTCAGTCCTTGTAATATCACCTTTTGTGTCCCGCACCACCTTCTCAGCACCTTACTACTTCCTAATGTGTTTTGTACCAAGTAGTTTTCAATAAATTTTTATCAAGTTTACTTAGAAGTCCGCGTTTTCTGCTTCCTCTTCAACAGCACCCCTCCACCCCTGCAGCCTGATACTACCCCACTGATCCTCCTACTGTTAACCTCTTCCTCTGAACATCCCCCACTCTCCAGTCACCATGTGCTGAGGTTTCTGAATAATCTCATCTTTTCCTCTTTATCCTTTAACTATTGTCTAAGAAAAGGGGCTATAGACTTCAATACCTTTATCTGAACAATGAGACAAAAAGAGAATGACAACATGAAAGCTGCTGGTTCTGAGGATGATTAAGATATTTGGAATTAAGGGAAAAATGCTTGTTTTTCTACTCATGAGCTTCTTTTGACTGTTAGATTTTTACGTGTGCCTATTTAGACACATAATAAATAAAAGTTTCTTTAGATCTATTCTTTTGGTTGTTAAATAAATGCATACATACAAACAAACACCATCTGAGACTAGGCAAGGGGACAAAAACTCTGTAAAGTTTCAAGCTCTGTGATGGCAGATATGTGTCTAACATCTTCACCAGTGAACACATGGTAAGACCCAAGATAGTGCCTCAGACATTTAGTTTAAAGATTGAATGAAACATAGCAGGCCTTCTGGTAAAAACAACTCTTCCTTAAAATTCTCTAGGTTTACTGTGTTCAGAGCCTGGAGAAAAGAAAGCAAAAAACATTGGAGAGGAAGTTTGGTATAATTATAGTACTTGCTGACACTGGCTGGTAGGTGTCATCGAGTCAGCCATGACTCGTAGCAACGGGATGAACAACAGACCCAAACCTTGTCCCATCGTGTGCCATCCTCACAGTCTCCACCCTGCTCATACCCATTGCTGCAGTTTTTGTGTCAACACCTCTCATTGAAGGTCTTCCTTTCCTTTGCTAACACTCTATCTTTCCCAGCACATTTTCCAAGAATTCATCCCAAAGTGTGTGAGATCAAGTTTCACCTTCTTGCGTCTAAGAAGCACTCTGGCTGCACTTCCTCCAAGATAGTTATGTTTGTTCTTTTGCAGCCCATGGGATAGTCAATACTACAACTCTCCAAGGGATCAAGTCTTCTCCAGGCTTCCTTATTCATTTAGGATGCATAGGAAGTCACTGGAAGTACCAATCAAAACACTTCATGATCACCATGATAAATGCATTAACCCGAATCATCCTCATGGAAACACTGTGCTGTAGATAATGGGACATGATGTCCATTTTGCTGAGGAGGAAATTTAGCCACAGAGAGGTTAAAGGTAATGTGGTAAAAGGCAAAGTTGGGAAAATGACACACGTCAGTTCAGCTTTTTATTTCTCAGCCTTGTGCTTCCCAGCTGGAGGAGGACATTTTTATACTCCCTCAGCCTTGTAGACAATAACCTCTCTGGGACCCGTCACTGAGTTTACTACAGGTCATTCTAGCCTAAGGTCAGAAGGTGTGGGTGATAAAGACACATGACAAGATCAGTGAAAATTACTTTTTGATTAGAGGGAAAGTGAATCATATTGTCTAACTTCAACTCCTTCCTCTCCACCCCGCCCCTCACTATGGTTGTGCAATTGACTTTCCTCCTCTGTTCCTTTCTGAATTCAGCTTCATGCACTTGGCTTTCTCACATTTGTTAAGCCAGACTTGAACATGAACAGTCATCCCTGACTACTTCCCTCTGACCTTTCACCAGGCACCCACTGCCTGCTACCACCTTCCTACCACATCTGATCAACACCAGGCCAGGCGACTGTTACTTTAGCCCTGGCATCCACATCTCCCTTTCTCTTCCAGGACACCAGAAAAAGCAGTCACCACCCGACCGAGTGATGCCAGTCTCCTGACTCCCTCTGAGCCTTACTCAATGGCTGAGCGATGACTTATTCTGAGAGATTTGGTTTTATTCTTCGTGTAGACAGACTCTTGCTTAGAAAATTAAGAGACACCAGTCTGATATCACCAAAGCCCTTGTATTAGAAATAAACTTTATTGTCTGGTTTTGTCTCACCCGTATGCCAATATTATTGTGAATCCCTTGGTTTTTACTCTGCTTCCCAGTTCACTCCAGTAAGAGAGAGGGAGTCCCACAATTTCCTTAGCCATAGATTTTTTCAAGTTTTTCCCCATCTGAACGCTTTGTACCTAGATCTGGTGGACAGGAGCCCCTCTATCTCTTTTCTATGTTCCATGCTCAACTT